CATATGCAGATTTTGGTATCTGCAGGGGCCCGGGAACTAATCCCCTGAAAATCCCAAGAGATGACCATGCTATTCACTGCTGTAACCCAGTGTGGCTCGGTGCTGAGCACATATTGGGGATTTAATGAATATTTGTTGAATGAATGAATGAGTGAGCACGGGTAGGGGTATGTGCTAACAAGAAAATGGGTCTCTTTAGAGCAACTCCACATATTTCTTGGGTGATTTGACTGAAGAGGGAATCCAGGACCCCAGGATCTGCACCCGCACTGCACTAGGCTCTAACAGAAGTTTGCTGAATCCTGAGGTGATGCTGGGCGTGGTGAGCAAGGAAGAGTGGATGTGTCCACACTTGGTGCCCCCCCCCAATGCAAGGCCAAAATGCTTCCTTCCTTCCTTCGTTCCTTCCTTCCACGTTTGACCTATTGGCTTGTCCTGTTGATTCTCTGGTCATCGCAGCCTCCAAACCAGTGCCATTTCTTCTGCCCTTGTCTCTCTACCACCCACTCTCCACGTGGTGACAAGAGGGATCTTTTAAGTCTTCTTCTGCAAAGAATGTGTCTTTCTTTCCACAGACTGAGAAAGCTGTGTTTCTAAAATTTTAATAGACATACGGGAATTTTGCTGAAATGCAGGCTGTGATTCATTTGATCTGGGGTTGGGAAGGAGACTTCATTTCTAACAAGCTCCCAGGCCAGGAGATTGCTGCTACTCTTGGACCACATTAGGAGCAACAAAGAATTAGAGAGAAGGCCAAACTTCCTCCCCATGTCCTACTTTATCTGGCTCCTGCCCAGCTCTCCTACGTCATCACCAACCTCTGTTCTTTCTCATCACTCTGTGGTCACATTGGCCTTCATTCTGTTCCTGGAGTGTGCCAAGTTTTCCTACCTCAGGGCCTTTGTCTGTGATGTTTCCACTGCTTGGAACGACTCTTTCCTGGTGTATACATTGCTTGCTTCTTTTCTTTATTCATATCTCAATTCAATGGGCAGAGAGTACTTCTCTGACCATCTCAGAGAATAAAGTACCTCATCCTCCTGGGGACTATCAGGTATTGGCTTTTTAAATATTTTCTTCTCCATAGCATCCATCACTCTCTGAGTGTATTTTGGTAATATATTCATTGCTTTGTGGATGTTCTGCCTCCACCCTTTCATGTGTTCCACATGATAAAAAGACTTGGTTTCCTTCACTTGAAGTCTGCCCCTGAGCCTGGCACATAGCAAGTACCCTTTTCATGTTAATTTGGTCTATGCATGAACGTGTTACTATGGTGACTTTGTTGTTCAGATGCATGTGGGGAAAACTTAGAGTGACATTAATAGAGGTGCCTGAGACAGAGGGGTGGAAGGAGGGAAGAAGCAATCTTTTTATACTGAGGGTGCTGCAGTAAAGGTCTCAAGAAACTGGAGATGACATTGAACCTAAGAATCAGCACATGATAGTTACATTCATCTAAGACACTCACTCTGGAAGGTGAGGAAGAGAGTAACTCCTATTGGTTAAGTGAGTTAATGAGACATTTGGAACAGTGTAAGTATACACATCATAAGTATTTATTAAATAAATATGTTGAATGCTTATTTTAAAATCATCACTTTGCATAATTATGGTTTTTTTTTTTTTTGATACTAGAGATTGAACTCGGGGGCACTCAACCACTGAGCCACATCCCCAGCCCTATTTTGTATTTTATTTAGAGACAGGGTCTCACTGAGTTGCTTAGCACTTTGCTTTTGCTGAGGCTGGCTTTGAACTCATGATCCTCCTGCCTTAGCCTCTGGAGCCACTGGTATCACAGGTGTACGCCACCACACCTAGCATAGACTTATCTGTTTATCCTCACAACATAGTATCTCTGTCTTGCAAATGAGGAGCAGTATTATGAGTTGGGAGACTTGCCCAAGGTCATACAATTCAGAGACAGACTGACAATCCCATTTCCTAAAAAGCTTTATTCGATGTTGTAAATTCCATCCTGCCCTGTCCCACCTACTGTTAGCACCTGGTACATTGTGCTTTCTACTTGCTTATCTGTCTTCTCAGAATGTAAATTCCCTAAGAGGAAAGATCTTTGTTAAGTTCATTGCTATTTTCCAGTGCCCAGAACAGGGCCTGCAACACAAGTAGACACTTAACAAATACGGAATATTTGTTAAATTGTTTTAAAACCCTTTCTTCCCCATCTCCAAGAGGTGGTTCTGTACATGGGAAGGGACAGAGTGGCTGACTGGATATATAAATTCAGACACAACAGCTGGAGTCCCCCTGAGGCGACCTGGGAAGGAGAGCTGGGGCAAGCAGAAGGACAAGTGACCAGAGGTGGGAGCAGCTGCTTGGAGCCTGGTGGAGAGCAGCCGGGGAGCTGGCCTTGCCCGGTCCCCAGCCCTGATGCCACTGCTGTGGTGGCATGGATAGGTGTAGATGCCACAGGCCAGGAGCGGCCTTTCTCAGGATGTGGCTTCCCACAGAAAGTGACCCTAGAGGCCCCATGGCAATTACAAGCTGATGTAAATGCATAAATAGGCACTTATCAGGCAATTGCTTACAAATGGAGTCAGGCAGTTGCTCAAGTCTGTCTGCTGGAAGTTCTGAACGAGTCAGTCCCTTGAGATGGTTCTCTGGCCTACTGACCTTCCTGTGTGCCATGGTTCTCAGAGTGTGGTCCCCACACCAGCAGTATCAGCATCACCTGAGAACGTGCCCCAAATGCAAATTCTACCCTCTGACCTAGGAAACTATAGGCGTAGGACCCATCATTGTAGGAATTAACAAGCCTTTTAGGTAATTCTGATACATGTTTTGAGTTTGACAACCATGATTTCAGTTTCTCTTTCAGGGTAATTATTAGTTTGCTGCAAAAATCAGGGTTAGGGGACTCAAATATACTACAGGAGGTTCCCATTATAAAGTGAGAAGTGGAGCAGTGATTACTTATTTTTTAGGTATCAGGGATTGAACCCAGGGGTCCATAACCACTAAACTACATCCCCAGCCCTTTTTATTTTTTAATTTAAAAAATAAAGAGAGGGTCTTGCTAAGTTGCTGAGGTTGGCCTCGAACTTACAGTCCTCTTACCTCAGCCTCCTGAGTTCCTGGGATTATAGGTATGCATCACTGCACCTGGCTGGATCAGTGATTCTTAATGGGAAAGGACAAAGTTTGCTGGAACTCCTTTTTATTTCAGAAAATCCCCAGAAGAGGGGTTGTCAAAAGTGCATTTTAAAGTTACCATAGTTTTTTTTTTTAAGATCTGATATTTAATTTGTTTTGAAATGTCAAATGACATTAAAGGAAGGTATGATATAAACCACCAGCCAGTACTGATTGTTTTAGTGTCTGTAGATCAAATAAGAATATAATGCTGGGATCTCACGTCCTGTCCCATCCTCAGCCTCAGCCTCAAAAACAAAAAATAAAAACAAACAAAACAAAAAGACTCAATTCTCTATCCGTTCACAGCCCCCCCACCCCCACCCCAAGTGCCTAGGCCTCAGCTGGCCTGAGAGATAAGAGAAACCTGGCATAGGGCCTGCCTAAGAGCTCATGAGACTGGTTGCACAATTTAATGGAGACTTTACTGTGCACAAGGCACTGTACTGTATTTGACTCTGTGAAAAGGGTGCAAAGATAAATTAGCCAGTGGTTTCTGCAATCCAGGAGCTTTAAAAGAGATAATTCAGAAGGGAAACATTTCTTCTGGTTGGCAGATGTCGAAAGTACAGAGGTGTGGGACCTTTGATCAGAGCCTTGGTTTTTCAGTATTGCTAGATAACAGAACTTACGCATCGGACTGATGGCAGAGGAGGGCGAACACCTGGGGTGGGGTTGGTATGTGAGGTAGGAGGCACTAATTCTAGTCCCTAGAGGTACTGCTGCCATGCCCAGGGACTAGTGGGTTCAGAGCCTTATTAGGAGAGCTGAGGTTGGACAGCAACACTTGCTAACGTTTATCCAGTGACTGCATGTGTCAATAACAAACATAATCTTTCATGAGAACCCTATGAGACAGGCACTATCACGGCCCCATCCGACTGAGAGGGAAACTCTGGTGCTCAAAGGAAAAGCATCTGCCCAAGGTCAGACACCAGGCAGTGGTGGAGTCAGAATTTGAACCCAGGCTATCTTGATCTACAGAGCTCAGCAATAAGGACTTGACAAAACTATGCACTGTCTCCAGTGTCCCTGGGCTGGCCTGCTGGGTAGGGGATGGCACACTGATTTTGGTGAGTAAATAGGATCCTGAAAGTTCTTTCGCCTTTCTTCATGCTGGATCATTCCCTTTAGTGTATAGAATTCAGAATAAAGTGGTACATGAACCAGATACAGGACTTGCCCCTCCCCCCACGGCTCTCCCCCTTCCCCCCTTGTCTCTCCCCCTGTCTGTCCCCCAGGGCTGCGGATCAACCCTGCACAAGCTATGCAATTGCTCTACCACTGAGCACACCTCCAGCTTGGGAAAAATTCTTTAAGCACCTTCCTATTAGATGGCGGCCCCTAAATCCACATAAAATTCCGGAACCTCCGCGGTCCCCCATCTTCCAGGCAGCGGCTGCGGCAGAACTGCAGGAGGAACGCCCTCCTCCCGTCTAGGGGGCCACGGGCTGCTGCCCCGCCCCATCCGGGGGTCGCGGGAAGCTCCTAGGCGAGGTTGCGGGGAGGGGAGGGGGGAAGGGGAGACTGGTTCCCCCGACTCTGCGCCCTGGGGAGGAGCCGGAGCTGAGCAACGCCTCATCGGGCGCCAGGCGGGGCCCCCTCTCGCCGCTTGTGCCTGCCGGGAGGGAAGGCCCGGCTGCGCGGCCAAGGGTGCGGGCGGGGGCCCCCGAGGGCGCGGGCCCGGCGGCAGGTGCGCGGAGCGGACTACAAGTCCCAGCATGCCTGGCTGCCCTGACCCGGCCCCCGCTGCCGCTTAAAGGCTCCGGCAGCAGCAGCCGTCGGGTCGCCGCGGCTTTCGCTTTGCTGCCGCGCTTGGGCGGCGGGAGGAGCGGTCTCGGCGGGCGGCTCTCCTGGAACCCCGGCTTCAGCAGCACGGAGGGCGCTCCTGGTCCAGCCTTCCAGGTCGGGGCTTCCTTGCCGAGGCGCCCGTGCCCCCGGGCTCCCCGCCTCGGCCCCCAGCTGCCCCGATGCCGAGGCATGGATAGAGCGGCGCTGCGCGCGGCGACGATGGGGGAGAAGAAGGAGGGCGGCGGCGGGGGCGCCGGGGCCGCGGCCAGCCGGGCTCTGCAGCAGTGCGGGCAGCTCCAGAAGCTCATCGACATCTCCCTCGGCAGCTTGCGCGGGCTCCGCACCAAGTGCGCGGTGTCCAATGACCTCACCCAGCAGGAGATCCGGACCCTGGAGGTAAGGGTCCGCTACTCCAAAGGGTCCAGGACCCCGACTGGGCGCGAGGAGCGGCCCCAGCTCACTCCTTCCCGAGTTGCATCCTGGAACCTGGTCCCCTCCTTGGAGGCTTCCTCCGTCGCCTCCCTCGCTGATGCGGCAGCTTGAGGACCCAGGATCAGCACTCACCTTGGGCAGGATTTTTGGAGGAGAGGGCGCAGATTGGGAACCGGGATGGGAGCTGGAGGAGCCGGTGACCGGCGTGGGCTCCGCGCCGAATTCCCCTGCCAGCCTTCTCTCCGCCCCCACCCCATTTCCAGGGCTTGCCGGGGTCATGTCCCACTGAGTCACGCGTTGGACTTTTCGCTGTGGGCTGGGGTGATGGGGAGGTCCCCTGCCCTCTGCCTTCCCTCCAGCCCTGGTCCGGTTCTTGTCCCTTCCTCTCCTCCCCTCCAGGTCTTGTCTGTTGCTTTTCATAAAGTGTTTGCTGAAACTGCATTTTTTACTGTTCAGGCGTTTGGTGCTTTCCTTTCCTGATGCCACAGTCTTTCATTCCTCAAAATGTAATTACCCACTCCCTCCCCCCAGCTCCCCCCTAAACGTGGGGTTTTGGCTTAGGAAGGATTATGCTGGGGAAGGAAGCTTTTGGTGGGAAGATGGCACTACTTAAGGGCTTCTGCTGAAGTCTGCATGGAGTGTAAAGAAGAAATGTGGGCCTCCTCTTTCAAATTATAGCTGGGTAGTGCAGCATTAAAAGGATTTGGAAGAATCATCCAGAAGGGTTGTTGGGTTCTCAGAAGGGAGAGCTCCCCCCACCCCTTACACAATAGATGGAAACTAGTGCATTCCCAACTTGCTTTTGTCCAGGGACAGGGAGACCTCTGAAATTCTTGGGGACAGTTAATAGCTGCCCTGTCTTGAAGAGGGACCTTCCACTACCATGCATTGCCACATCTGGTCTCCTGTAGGTCTGGGGATGTTTTGTTTTACTGGATCCTCAAGGCACCCACCCCTTGTTATTGCTAATTGCCTCTGCCAGCTGTCAGAGGGCAGACGGTCATTGCTGTAATTATTACAAGACCAATCCTCCCTCTACACACACCACAAGCCTGAATCCTTGTTTGATCTGAAATGCTCGGAGTGAGTCTCCCTTAGTTTTATTTGCTTAACAGCTACAAATCCAGGGACATTGGAAGAATCCAATTAGTGTTGGCTATTATTATTATTATTGTTGTTGTTTTTATTATGCCTGTTATGGCAGGACTGACCAGGACATTGCTTAAAAAACAAACCCACAAAGCCCTCCAACATGCCTTTCTGTATGTGGACTACCAAGTGTTTTCCAAGTGAAACTGATTTCTTGAACACGGCCAGAGTGTGTTTGCCCAGCGAAGTTCAGTTTTTAAGCGGACACAATAGGTGGCCTGTGTGGTTTAGTTCTGGGAGGAGGGGTCGTTATCCAGCAGTGTGTGTCTGGTTGGACCGCTGTGTTGTTGGGCTGAGAGAATGTTCTCTGAGTTGGCCTGGGTCGGGTGGTCCCCGTGTTGCTCTGAAGTGGTTCCTGGATCCCAGGGTGAATGTAGGAGAATGGTTTGCTGTTCATTCTCTGCAAATGGCTGTTTGTCCTCCAGGTGAACTGACTTCTAGTCTTGCTCATTTAGACCAAGGTGCAGCATGGTGACACCTCAAAGCCTCCAGCTGTTGGGGTCTCAGTGCTGGTTGACTGAGTGGCCTCCCTGATGAGTGTGTTGGAATGGTCATCTCTGGCAGCCAAAGGCGGCCTGAGTGCGATTTGCAGGGTGAATGAGACTAATACCAGCTTTCTGTTCTTCCCACTGTGGTATAGGTTTGGGCTCACCTGCTCCCTGAAAAGGCAGGATCTGGGTTGCTCTTTGGGATAGGAATTTAGACCCCTGGAACTAGTTCCTGGGACTGCCACCAGCTAGTTTGGGTGAATCATTTTTTCCTGGAGGCTTAAGCTTTCTTATCTGCAAAATGAGCAGGCTGATGTGGGTCTCTGAGGGCTCCTAAAGCTCTGCCTTCGGTGCGTTAGGGAAGGAGACTCAGTTACATTGAATGAAGCATTGGTGAGTGTTTATATTCATATTCATATTTTAGAATAATTCTATAATCCAGATTTACTAGACTGACAAAGTAGAAGGTAAGTTGATTCCTACAAGAACCTTGACAGGGACAGTGTGGTGAAGAACAGAAGCCCACAGCTTTGAAAGCCATCCTGGCTCAGTCTGTGTGGCCTTGGGCAAGTCCCATGACTTCGACTGTCAAACTCCCTCATCTGTAACATGGGGACGGTCTGCTCACACCTGTGGCATCTTAGCTAGAAGCTCCCTGGTGAGGACCCAGTGACATCCATCCATGCCCAAGCCCCTTTGAGAGAAAGGACTTCTTACAGCTCGCTCTGACTTCCTAGAGGTGGATGCCACTGGCCAGGAAGCAATCCTAGCAGCTCCACCCCCAACAGCACTGGAACGGCCAGGCAGGAGGCCAGGGTCCCTTTGGCTTTCTTTTCTGTGCTGCAGACTCCTCTTACCACTAGGCCAGGCCCCCAGAGACTGTGCTTGCGACATTGGATTCCTGGCTTTTGAAGAAGGGTCTGGCCACAGGGCTTGCTTGGCTCATGCAACGACGTCAGACTTGTTGTAGAACCTTAGGAACCACAGTCCACTCTGGCCCTCATTAAATGAGCAGTTGGTGGGAGAAGCAGCATGTGAGATGTCTCTGGAAGACCCTGATCAGGGGCAGGCTGCTGCAGTCCAAGATTTCAGGTTGCGACAGGCATGCAGGCACTGGTGTGCTTGGCTGCCCGGTGACAGCTTTTCTCTGTGGACCAGCTGGATTAAAAATGGTGGAAGGAGGCAAGTGGTAATGTTATACACACATACATACTTTTTTTTTTTTTTTTTTTGAATGGATGGGCAGGAGACACAACCAGAGTCAATCTATAGAAAGAGTCGTAGGATTCACTTGATCCTGATCACTCCTGGTGCCTTGTCTCCTTGTCTCAGACCCTTTTAGGGGTCTGAGAAACCCACTAAGGCAAGTGGGATGTTCCCACTCTCCATTTGTGCTTACAGAGGGACACCTGGCCTGCCTCAAACCAGTTCCTCCCTTCATCCTCTGCGGGTCCCATCTGTGCCCTGTGCTGGTGAGATAGAGTATGCAAAAACAGACATTCACATCGCCTGCTGAGATTCACTTTTATTTTTTTGGTACTGGGGATGGAACCCAGGGGCGCTTGACCACTGAGCCACATCTCCAGCCCTTTCTTTGTATTTTATTTAGAGACAGGGCCTCACTGAGTTGCTTAGGGCTGCCTTTGAATTCCTGATCCTCCTGCCTCAGCTTCCAGAGATTCACTTTTTTGGGTACATTGTAACTTGCTCTTTCCTGCCAGCACACTAGCCTTTCCCATGTACAGGCTCCGTCCCAACCAGGCTTCCCACTTTGTGCTTATGCAAGCTGACCTAGAGATGTGTTCCCCAGGGGAGAGGACACTGGGAGTCATGGTAAGTATAGTGTAGTTTGGCCACTTCTCTGAGAAGTTGCTCTGGAGCCAAGATGTGCTGGGGGGAGGCGTCAGGTCAGAGAGGCCTGATCCACACTCAAGTGGGCCCTGCAGAGGTCAGAGCCCTGCTGTTTTGAGGACTGCAGCTTTCCCTGGGCCCTCCGCGAGTGTCCACATAGTGGAACTGCTGGAGGTGGTGAGGGGTGTCCTGTGTCCTCGGATCAGGTCCTTGGGGACACACAGGGGCATGCTCCTGCTGCTGCTGCTTCCTGAATTCCTGCTGGGCTGCTGTCTGGCAAGGGTTCTGAGATGAGTGGGATGCCCTCCTGTCTTGGGGATTGAGGGGTACTTTCAGTCTAAAGGGGGAGTCACAGAAGTGGACAGTAGTGCCTGCAGTGCCACAGCTCCTGGGGAATGCTGGGAACTGGGCCCTGCACTGGGAATCCCACTGAAGTGTTAGCCAGTCCCACTTCTTGGCTCCATGGGAGATATTCCTAGAGACTTGGTGATTTCTCCAAAGTCCCTTGTCCCTGGCAGAAGTGAGACCGAAAGTTGGCTTTCCTTTCCTGACTCAGCCACTGTCCTGGAGTATGACATTTCTCTGCCATGTTTTAACCCTTGGCCCGAGTGACTCTAATCATCCCTGAGGGAACACAGAGCTGTAGCACTGTCCCTTTAGGTGCCCACTTTCACCTTGCCAACTTTTTCTGTGGACAAACCTACTTCCTGAAGGCCTGGAGGGGGACCTGCAGTTTCTAGAGGCTGTGAGCTGGAGAGGGCTGGGGGTGCTGGAGGGAGGCCTTTGCATCTCTGCAGCCCACGGCAACATAGGAGTAGGACACTGGGGTTTGCTGCCTGGGGACAGGAGTGGGGTTGCTTCTTTACTTTCAGTGGCCTTGGTTGGCTCAAAATTCTGGGAACACTAGAAGCATTCTCGTCCTGCCTGCTGTCTGAGGCTGGAGAGGGGCCGTGCAAAGGTGATGACCCGTGGTGACAAGGTCTTGCAGAGGTGTGGAGAGGTAGGAAAGCCAGTGGCCATGTCTCTGAGCTGTGCTTTAAAAAAAAGGGACATCCTTCCAGAACACGCTGGTTGAAATCTCTTTTTATATTCCGCTCAAAGGGGAAGCTGCATAGGTGCCTCTGGGGTTGTGGGAACCCCCTTTGCAAGGAGAGGACCCATGTAGAATGAGGAACATTCTTGGCCACCCCCTGTGTGTCCAGCTCTCTGCTAGGCTCTTGCCTTATATCACCCTGTTGAACACAATGGTTCTGTGAGATTTTTATCCTGATTTTGAAGATGAGGAAACTGTGGCTCTGAGGGATGAAGATATCGAGGAGGTAGTGGAACCTGAGTTGACTCACCTTGGGAGCCCATGTTCTGAACTTTGCAGCTGCCTTTAGACATGGTGGTGGTGGTGGTTCTGTTCAAGGTCATGGCTGCTAATACCCAGGAAATTGCCAATAACTAAAAAGGCAGGCCCAGGGGCAGGCGTCT